TAAGCTGAAAACTATTTTTCTCCTACTTCACCCCAAGAAAACAGGCAAAAAATATGCATTGAGCGGGTCAATTTTTCTGCTTCAATACACATCAGTCTATAGAAGTCACTGACTCCCAGCTCTCTCAAGACAATTCATTACTTCAGTTTTCCCATCAGCTCCTTTGCAATTTCTCTCATAATTCTCCCAACTTACTGCCTCTAAGAGTTAACAAACAGACTCAGTACGTTGTCCTTCAGTTCTACTCCTCAAGATCACATCAGTAGAACTGTACACACACACACACACACACACACAAAAAAAAAAAAAAAAAAAGAGTTTTAGGACAATCAGCAACATGCTGAATACAGTTTACCTATACTAGTGACTGTTGCTGATAAATACAATTTACACTTGTTCTTTAGAATGCTTTCAAACTAGTCTTATGCAACTGGCCTCTTTGTTAGCTCTTTCCCAACAACTTTGAAACCACTAACTTAAACCTGACAAGAGAGATAGAGGTCTCAGAGACAATCATTTTGTAGACACATCATGAGAACTGGCTGCTAGGTCAGGGACAGAGTCTCTGTTCGGATCCTTATTGGCAGAAATGAGCTCTTAATCCCAGAGCTCTTTGGTTGACTTTTTACAGTGATCAAATTGAGAACTGCTCAAAAGAAAAGTTAGACAGGGAAGAAGCAGAACTAATGAAGTGAGACCAAGCACAAAGCAGTCTGATCTGGTAGGAAAGGTGTTCCTTTGCCCCCTTTTCTGTTTTTCTCTCCCCTGGCTATGAGAGGAACAAGATACCCAGATGCCCTTCTTCATGTATTCCCACCCTTTTTACCACATTGCCCTTGATATAGAGGTTTCTACACAGAGCCCTGTGCTCCTTCCACCTGTTTGCATGCAAGTAAACAAATGTATTTTGCCCCAATGTCATGACTCAGTTTCCTTCTGCATCACCTTTTGCTCTCCTAGACCTCTCCCTCTCTTTATTTCTTTTCACTGGCTTACTTGTATGTTGAAAGGGAAGGAAGGAGGAAGGAACCAGACACTGGCTCTCCTTGATATGTACTGTATACACTACACTTGCCACACCAGATCTCACTCCACGCAACCTTCAGATCTGTTGGGGGATGAACGAGGAGGAAAATGAAGGGGGTGTTCACTGATTCCCCCAGCTGCTTACTCTCACTCTTGTCAGTCTCTTATCATGCTCCCACTCTGCTGAATCTGAAGTAGACGGATTGGAAGTGTGTGGTCTTTGGCTACATTTCTCCTACCGTGGATGTTATGAGCCACTCGTTTACACTTTGTACAGCACAGCCAGTGAGAAAGCAATGTTGAAAGTGTAGGCTTCTTCAACCAGCACCTGCATTGCTTCTCCCTCTGACAGTATACTGACCTTTCTGTGTAGAGGGAAGTGCAGCAAGCTAGCTAGCTAGATTTAGCATGTCAGATTTGACCCAGAGACCGACAAATTAAGAGCACTACCTTTTCCAATCTGCATGGTCTATACATTGACTGATGCTCTGTGCACAAGCCTAAACCAGCTAACACTTGAGCTGCTTTTTTGCACAATTGCCCTACTAAGCAAACATTGGGAGGACTTCAGACGACAGCTGGGGTTATTATAGTGAGGTGAGGGAGTCTGTGTCACATAGTATTCTAAGCAGCTAAAGGAAAGCAGTAATAGGTGGGAAAAGTATAGTAGGAATGTATTAACAATACGTAGAAGCTTGCAGTCCTCTGACAGCACATGACTGAAGCACTGGACCAAATCTGATTCAGAAAGTCAACCCCTCCACGCTTTAAGTCTTAAACATAGGATCATGGGATAATTCCAATTAGAAGACACCTCTTGAGGTACAAACTCCTGCTTAAAGCAGAGTCAGCTATGAGGTTAGGCCAGGTTACTCAGAGCTTTACCCAATCTGGTCTTGAAAACCTCAAAGAATGGACACTGCACAACCTATCTGGGAAACCTGTTCCTATGCTTGACACTCTTCATGGTCAAGAAGTTTTCTGATATCCAGTGTGAACATCTCTATTTTCTCCCCACACACTCCAAAAGCACTATTAGATTTTAATTTCTTTAAATAGTTTTCCACCATTTCACGTCACTTCACAGAACATGTTTGTTGCAGGCTTTCACTCAAAGACGTCAAAGAAATTTGAAACACCACTGGGCAAAACAGAGAGTATTCTTGAGCGTAATAGGTTTGAGCTTTCCATTCATTTAAATCTCTTCAAGGAAATAAGAGAGATCTTGTCACACTAGTCAGAACAATCAATTTTTTAATGTCTAAACTATGGTCAAAGGTACACTTGCAGTGTATTCAGAATTGAATTGGAATACATTCAGACATTCAGGTCTGAAATATCCTACATTTATCTAATTCAGTTACTAAAAATAATCAAGCTGATCTTTGCATGTAGTTGGAACTCAAATATCTACAAGTTTCTGGCTGGATTTTGCAACTTTAAGTGTCCAGCAACCTCAGTGAAAACCTTTTTTACATACACTGAAATTAAGTCCCAGTTATTGTGAGAGTCACTAGGCAGCTCTCTGGGAGCTACACTGGAGAGAGTAATTATCACCAATATACAGATCTGACCTCTAGGAAGTATCAGAGGCAGAATATCAGAGGCATGTATCAGAGGCAGAAGTCAACTGTGATGCTTAAAAGGGCTCTGGATTGTTGTGTAGTTGACATAATGCCATGTAACAGAAAGCACATGTATGACATCGGTGTGTGAGTGGCTGCATCTGTGGAGAAGGTGAATGGGTATCCACTTAGCCTTTAAGATGACTTTTCAACTTTCCTCATACCTTAGGAAATCCAAATTTGATCATCACCTTTGTGACTTCTGGTGTCCCCTATAACACTAAAAGATGCTATATGACTTCCACTTCAGTCTTATATGTATGGAGCTGCTCTGTTAGGAACCTCAATTACATTTCCCATGGAGAAATAACATCAAAACTCATATTTAGGAAAGAAAGTATGAAGTTTCACATCACTAAATGTGCAAACTATGACATGTAGCTAGATCATAACAGTATGTCCCTGCAGGAGACGGAGAAATCATGTGGTTTGCTTAAAACTGGAACGGAAAAAGGTCCAGAGCAAGCTCAGGGCACAATCCTTCACTGGTCCCCATGTGGTGAATAAACTAAATGTGACTGATTATGAGCTTTCTAGCACTAATTCCGAATTTGAAATCTGCTACATGCAAATTCCAAGGTAAAGCCAACAGAAGTGTACCGTGCTTTGCCTACCTCTGGGCTCCCCATGGTCTTGGAAAGGCAATACAGAGCTTGTATATTAAACTAGTTCTGCAAAAATCTAACCAGTTACACCATACAACAAGTTCTACTCATGCTAGGGCATTATTTTCCAACCATATCCTAGGACTACAACAAGATATATATGAATGTATATCTACGATGTATATACATGAATGATCCTTGAAATAGGTTAGTTATACTGCCTTTGTGTAACAGATACCAAGTCAGAGATCATAAAAATGCTGGCACACACAGGAACAAATACCTTCATGGTTAAGTATGAAAGCCATGCATCATTCTGAAGTTGAGTGGATGCTACCAGATTGTGTGTTAATTATTTATTTGAAGAGCATTGTGGGGAGATGGACCAAGAATTAAAGCTACCTGTACAACATGCACTGTTAAAAGTGGTGTAGATTAGTTGTTGGCCAAGAGGATAATAATACCCTCAGCAGTGTGTACATGTAGAGGATATGGGAAAGGGAAGCAGTACATGTTTTGACACATTACAGTATACAGACCCAGGTAATTTTGAAAAATCTTAACAGTGAACTTTGCCATGTGAACATTACAGAAAACATAAAAGATCTCTTCAGGTCATGAGGACATCTGACCGGTAAGAAACATAGGCTAGATGTGGGAATTATATCCCAAGGTAGAAATTGTAGTCTCTAGTTTAAAGTTTGCTTCTACAGGAGTATATGGCCCCCTGGAAGTGCTCACAGAGGACTTTCCTACCAATCCAAGAAGTGTCACAGCACCAGGCTTTAACAGAGTCACTCAGATTTATTTTGGGGATCTCGTTCAATTTGCTTGCTCTCAAAAGTTTCATTTTCCTACTTATGTCACAGTGCCTGTGTGCTTCATGGGCTTGAGGTCCTCCACCAAATGAGCTGTTTTTGTCTCTGAGAGTATTTTGTTGAGTTGAATGGCATGTCTCTATGCATCTATCTGATGTCTTTACATGTGGTTTGCACAGAAAGAAATTTTCCTGTGGGGAGGAAAGTGTGCCACTGGACGCTGCTTTTATCTACGGAGACCTGCCTTTAGAGATCCATGGATTTTTTTGGTATTCACATATGTGTAGGAAGACAGAACTAGGTTTACATAGCCTAAGGGCTTGGGATTCTCTCCTGAAAAATAAGCGTGGCCGGGTGGAAATACGCTATTCCTCCCACTGTGTCCCCTCGCCATGGCTCTGCAAGGAGGAAGGGAGGGATTCCGTTTTGTTTGCTGTTCTCCACTGAAGTCTCCGTAGGGGGAAGGGGGGGGGGGAGAGAAGACGTGCAGATCATGCAGTGTTACGTACACTCGGATAACAAGAACCCGCTACCGTGCAAGGGAAGCAGCCTCCGGCTGCCTGATCCCGCGTCGGGAGGCACGCCCCGCACCCCCCCAACCCCCTGGGGGGCACCGCACCGACCCCGCACGCTCCGCGACCTTCCTCCGGGGGTGACCGGGGAGATGCCCCCCGCCGCCCCCGCAGCCCCGGGCTCGCCCCGCTCCCAGCACCGAGGCCGGCGGCGCCCCTCGCCCCTCGGGGCACCGGGCTAGGGGGGAGCGGGGGGGTCGTCGTGCGCAGCTAATGGCGCTGAGCGGGCCCTCGGCGGCCAGGATGGGCGCTGCGCAGGGCGACCCGCGTCCCACCGTCGCTCGGTTATAACCGGGGAGGGACTGCGACCGCCCGAGCATCCTCTAGCGCCGTCCCCGCCAACGCCTTCCTCACCCACGGTGCGGGATCCGATGCAGCCCATCACTCCGGGAAGAGGCGGCAGCCTCGGCAGCCGGGAGGAGGAGGAGAAGGAGGTGGAGGAGGAGGAGGAAGGCGGCGGGGGAGGTCGGAGAGGAGCCGGTCCCTTCAGCGGCAAACGCCGGGGCGGCCCAGCCGGGACCGGCGCGGGGTCATGGTCAGGTGCGAGCGCCGGCTGCCCCCGCCGGGGAGATGTAGGCGGGAGGGGGCTCCGCCGGCCGGGCTGTCATCTGCCCCGGCTCCGCTTCCCGTGCCGAGCCCTCGCCGCGGCTGCGCCCCTGCCTCCGCCGTGCGCCTGCCTCCGCCGTGCCGCCCCTCCGCCCGCTCCCCCCGGCGGCTCCCCGACGGATTGGGTAAACAGCCCCGGCCCGGCAGCACCGCAACGATTGGCTGCAGGACCGGGGAGGCAGGGCCGTGCCGGGCCGTGCCGAGCCGTGCCAAGCCGAGCCGGGCCGGGGGGCGGCCGCGCGTCCACCCCGCGGAGAGCGGCACCGGGCCGGCGGGGCGGAGCGGAGCGGGGCGGGGTGGCACCGGGGCCTGCCCGCAGTAGGGGCGGGCGGAGGGGGCCCCTCCTGGCTGCCGGGGCAGCTCCCGGTACAGGTGAGCGGCGGGCGGGGGGAAACGGGGAGCGGCAGCGCCCCCGGAAGGAGAAGCGAGAGGTGCGGGTGGATGGAGGCGGCTGGACGGGCCCTCGGAGGCTCGCCGCGGTTTCCCGGTAACTACACTTGCAGGTTTGATTCAATTAAAGGATGCTCTCCGCCCCCCCCAGCGGCCGGCGGCTCCCTGGAGGGCTGTGGATGTGCAGGTGCAGATGTGCAGCAGCGGTACCCGCTTCCCAGCCCTCTGCGAAACGGTGGAAGGAGCAGGCTTAGCCCTGTGGAATAAAAAGGCTTTTCCTTCAAGCTCCCTGCTGCCATGGCAGGGACGTATCTCCCCAGATGAAGATGTTAGGTCGGCTCCTTTCACAACCCAAATTCGTCTGCACCTGATAACAACAGGCAGTGTCCCCCTGGCCCACCTCCCCAGCACCACTGACCCTCCCTACTCTGCTCCTTCCACCTGCACGCTCTGAAATGCTCATGGTTTCTCCCAGCTGCTTCGTGTTTCCTTCACCAAAACCTCTCTGATCTCACCAGCTTCATTCCACCAGTCTCTCTTAAAAGGAAATTGAATTTTGCTGATCCCAAATGGATTATTTTGTTCTCATCTTTGAGAAATTCAGTTTTTTGTCTACATCGCTGAGAAGTCGCTCGCAGCAGCTGAACAGCCCCGATTAACAGCAGTAATGGGGAATAGCTCATTCTCCCACATACAGCTTACACTAAACCTAAAGAAAGAGGAGGAAAGAAAAGGGGGGAGGGGGAGGCTTCATATTTCATATAGAAAGAATATGTTTTTGCATGGGCCTCTTCAGAGAAGGAACTCTACCTACACAAAGTCAACTTAAAAAGTAAAAGTTAAATAAAAAGGACACGTGCAGAAAAAAATAAAAATAAAAAGTGGGAAAAAAAAGTGCCAATATTTGAATATAAGCAGCTATTATTTCTTTTCCCCTATTCCATGGTATTGAAGATTTACCAAGTATGGTGAACTCTAACTCTTATGAATTATAAGAGATTGCAGTCCCCTCCTGTCTGGGTGCCTGAGGCTATTGGGAGTATGATCTGGTGCTTTAATGTTCTTCAATGGATACAGCACGTTATATCTTTGCTGAGGATGAAATTTCTCCACAGTCAGAATTCTTTCCCTGTTTTTCTCCTCCCTCCCCCATATATTTCCAAATCTGTCAACTTTCTTGGAATTGTTTTGGATGACTCCATAAAGACATTTTCCTGATGTGTCCAAACTCTTGAAAACTAAGTTTTACAAATGCTGGGAAACCATAAATCTTGTTAGATCTTTATGTTACCCAGAGGTCTTTCGGCCTCCCTGAAGAGGAGATCCATATTGACTTCCTGGTGTAAATGCAAGAATAGGGGAAATGAAAGAAAATTGAAATGGGAAAAAAAAAATGGTATATAAAGAAACAAGGCTTCTCTGAGTGTTTTCTAAATTAGTGACTGTCCAGCCAACTACTGTCCTCCACAGTCTCATGGAGGTCTTTTCCAACCTTACTAATTCTATGATTGATCAGTATAGCTGTCCTGAGGAGGTTTACCACAAACCCCACCAAACAGTTTTTGCAGTCCTACCCTTGCATAGAGATGTATTGCTAATACAGCTGTGGGCAATTTCTTAAGTCATTACTCTGTTTCATGTTTTAATTTTAATCCCCTTTTCTCCACCCCCAATATAAAGCTGGTATTCTGCAAACCTCCTTTCAGTACTGAGAGAGATCTCTGCACTGGTCCCTTTTCAGTAAAGGTTTCAGGTAAGTCACATTGACTCTCCTTATTTTATTCTCTGGCCTTGACACTTTAACTTGTCTATCACTTTGTCTCAAGCTCAGTGTCATACCCCAGGTCCTAGTAAGTGTGCATTTGTCTTTCCTTTCATTAAGCTACAATAAAATCTACATCAATCTGTTCTGACTTCTGCCTCAGGCTGTGATTCCACAGGCAGGTGAGCAAGTCCTAGCGCTTATCCTGCCTGAAAATCAGCTTTCCAATTCTTGATGGATTTGTTTTCTTCTGCTTTTGTGTGGTAGTAGATTACACAGGGGTCTGGCAAGCACTTACACTGCTACTAGGTAAGTGTCAGGCAAACAGAGCAGAGAAAGAACTGGAAAAGAGGAGGAACTCTCCCTTCCAAGGGTGGTGAATGTCCACTACTCCCACAAAATTGTACCAGTGTGTATATTCTTTCACTCCACCGAACTACTAGCCTGCTGCATAGCTGTCTCACATGTCGTAATGCCACAACGCTATAATTTGTGGGAAAGCATATGCAAAATATATTTTGTGTAGTGCTGATTTAAATGCTGATCTGAAAGGTATTCATAAATGTTAAGTGTTCACACAGGGTTTGTAGATGGGGACATTTAATCATATAGAGAGAAAAACAGGTGGGTTGAAAATGGGCTGAAGGCATGGGGCAAGAAAGTAGTAGTCAGTGGTGCAAAGTCTGGTTGGTTGCCAATAACTAGCAGAGTACCCCAGGGTCCAGTCCTGTTTAATGTCTCCATTAATGGTTTGGCTTATGGAGTAGAGCATGCCCTCAGCAAGTTTGCTGATGACACAAAACTGGAAGGAAACTGCCCCTCTGTTTCTTGTAGAGCTGAAGACCTCCCCCTCCGTATACCCTGCTATAAGAGGCACGCTAGGCAACACAGAAGGAAGAACATTGCTATATTCTAGCTCCCACGTCAGTTGTTGCCCTGAGGAACTTCTGTTTGCAAAGCAGAGCTTTTGGGCTAGTCTAGCTTATTCCAGTTAATTGTTTGTTAATTATTTTGTGTTTGCTCTTTAAGACACGCCTCTTAGCATTGTTTATCATCCTATGAGCCATTGATGAATTGTTTCTATTAAACCTACTTTTCCATGTGTTCCCTATAGCTCTGTATAAATAAAATATAATGATCTTGTAAATTATAAATACTGGAACAGCATCTTCCTGAGAATTACTGTTTATAAAATACAGAGCTATTGTCACTGTCATACCTGTTTAATAAAGGTATTAATTTCATTAATTAGTTATCAGGGATTCAGATTGTACTACCATAAATAATGTGCCCCTGTCTTCTCCCTTAGCTGCCATTTAAACCAGTTCAAATGAAATGTATATATATATATATATATAAATCTTGCCATCTAATGTTCCACTTTTAACTAAACGTTGCACACCACAAAATGATTCAAAATATTTTCCTTCTCTCTATCATTTAACCTGACATGAGTTCCCATCTCCAAAGGTCTCACTGGTAATCACATCTAATCCTCCCATGAAAAAAAAAGGCTGAAAAATGATTGCTCACTTTCCTTCTCTGATCCTTTTTCAAATCCTTATTTAAAATCCTGTGTCACGACCAACTTATATCACAGAAAGATATGGAGGAACTTCATACATGCTTCTTGCAAGATGTGCATTCAGCTGTGAAAAATGTGCAGAGGCCTACTAACTTCTTGAGTGGAAAATGTTTACAAAAATAGTGTCTGTATTAGATCTATATAGACAGGAATTGCCCTTCAGGAACTGTTGCTCCAATATGCTTCTCTGCTGGCCTTCTGCCACTGACAACATGGATACCCCAGTAAATGCTTCTTCTGGCAGAGATCTCTGTAATTGCTTCACAGAAGTAATGGAGTAGACACCACAAGAGTTAATTCTACATCAAGCTGTATTAGCCACTGATAGGATTTTCATGTGGACTGAAAAGGAAATGAGATAACAAAATGACTCATACCATCCCTTCTTGCTCAGAGCTCCTTCGATGCAGGAAACAAACAAAAAGGCTTCTTATGGGGTTCAAAAAAATGAAAAAAAAAGAAGCACCAGCATAGTTCAGAACCTGAGAGGGGTGAATGATATCTGACATAAATGGAAGGCTGGGTCCTTTCAAGCTAGGAAAATATTTGAGGCTGTGTGAATCAACTGAAGATTAGAAGTAACAATAGGTGGAGGTATAGACACAGGATATCATGTAATCATTACACATGTAATGTTTGCATTACATATTGCAATATAAGCTCATGCACACCTACATCCGCATCCAAGCAAATGTCATCTTGTTCTGCCTGCACGTAGAGGTCATAAAAAACTTTATGAGAAAGCATTAGTATTTATCAAAAATTCCTCCTGGTGCTCAATACTATTTTCTCCCACATTGTTGAAGAGACATAATGGTGGCGCTAAAAGATTATTTTTTTCTCCTTCTTCTGCACAGTGAGTTCTCGAATTGGTCTATGCTGCCAGAGTAAAGACACACACTTTGGATATCCTAGAATCATTTATTGGAAACTGAACACTGATGGAGTGTCCCAGGAGGGATAAATGAGCTGGGGGAGGAGGGAAGAGAAAAAGAGAAAATTCCAGAAATATGTGAGAGAGGGAACTCGGTGAATCTGTAGTAGTTACTGATGGAGCAACTCACTTCGCTCACCATCAGGTAGCTAGTACCAAGCAGGGAGGTCAGAGGAGATAGCTCTGGAGGGTCAAAAGGGCTGTGCAGTATGTGCTAGGAAGAGACACCACCAATGACATAAACATGTGTTGTATACCCGGATACAAACATCTTTGATGCAGTCTGAGTCTTATTTGGCCTTTTTAAAAACATTTACTTCATTCTCTACTGAATATCTCATCCCAAACAGTGAAACATACAGCAGCTACTTCT